CGATAAAGTGATTAAAAATTTAAATAGTTTATACCTTGATAGAAGAAGTAAATAAATAAGGCACTATAATAATTGATTGATAGGTGAAATGGTAAGCTTTCTCTTCTATTCAACCTGAAGTTTTATTTCTAATTTTCTCTAAGTGTCGTGAATTATGATAAGTTATTGCTTATAATATAAAATGATCAACAGCATATTTATAAAATTCTAGCATTCAATCAATATTTTCGTAACGCTAAAAGAACAATAACTTATTAATACAGATAATGCTGGTTAATACAAGTAAGTATAAGAAACTAAATTATCTTTTACCAAATTACTTTTTACGGATAAAAGTTTCCCAGTTGATATTCTCGTTTAATGATTTAAAAGAATTTAACGTCCGTTATCCAAGGGTGTTTGTTGGATCGAACTAGTTATTGTTTTCTAGTATTTGAATAAAACTTATCTTATATTGTATGGTACCATAAATTATGTGTAATGATTGATTACAAGGCTTGATTTCAGCGAGGAGATACTAGATGTAGCAGATTCTTTATTTCTTAAAATTTTAATGAGATAATTATCTTTAATTTTTCAGGGTAAAGATTTCATTGTTTGTTGTAATATTTCGATGGTTGGAATAATAATAGGGATAAATTGTATTTTAATAAGGAATTCGTGACCTCTAAAATATTTGTGCAATGGATTAAAGTTCATTAGTAAATTAATAATCATTCAGATTTATACAAGACCATAATTATACATGATGAATAGAAATTCTAATTCGTCTTGGTTTCATGATTTCTATAAGTTATTATCGCTATTGCATCTATCATAGACTATATTCATCACTGAAAAGTTTACGAAAATTTCTTATATACGTTGTTAATCGCAGCTTTCATTCACGAGCGAAATTGACTTGCAATCTATTCTTAATTCTTTGATATTCTGGAAAAAATTTTAATAACCTTCTGTTACGAAACAGATTTTCGTTAGTTATGCTAATACAGCTTCTATATTATAAGTTCACTATAACTTAAAATCATTTTGTTTGACTACAGTATCATAACCACTTAGGCATAAATTTACAGTATGTAAGCCCATAGAAAAGGTTATAAATGAAATGTTAGCCTGAATACATTCCTGATATGTTATCATTTGTTATAGATTAATTATCGGCTATTACCTTATTTGTAAGAATGTTATTGCATTTGTTAGTATATTTAATATGACGTAAGTAAACTGCTAGCCTTATCCAACTGTATAAAGGTTAGTAAGAACAATACAGATTAGTTCAATACTCTAGCTCTACTGGACTCGTCTGGAGATTTCATTCAAATCTTCCTTGTTACAAAGTAGAAGAGTTTCGAAAATGCAACAACTTCATTACCAAAAATTCACGTTATCTTGGTTTGAAAACTTTTCTCTTATTACTGTATATGCATGCTATGATACAATAAAGTATTCTTTATTATTGGCAGAGAATGGTAGCTAGCAAATTAAGGATTGATATAAATATTTCTTTTCATAAATAGCGACCTTTATATAATTTGAATAGGATATTAAATATTCTTCTAAATCCGTATGGATTATAAAATTGATAATTTACTTGTACATGTCACTAAATTAATCTTCGTGATGTATATTTTATTTCTATGTTACGTTCTATTTATATGTTTATATCTCAGAAATGTTTTACGGTCTCCCTAATTGTAATTTTAGTGGTTAACAGTTGATATCCTTAATTTAGGATAACATAGACTAAAATAGTAATTGCCAACCAGCTAAACTGGATTATATCTATCACCTCCAAGTTGTTAAGGTTCAAAGTACAATTCCTATGTTTAGAGGAATTGTCTTAGTAGGATAAATTTATATGTATCTGTTAAACTATTAATAAGCATTGATTATTTCGATACTGTTACATTATTTTCAATAGGATTAGACTGTATCTAATCTGTGCAGTTAGAATCTCTTTAGGGTATTAATCTAGTTAATTTCTAATAGACGAGGTGACTTGTGTAGCTAAACCGGTTTTAGATCCGAAACCTATATAAACGGCAAGTTCGCTGACAATAAATTAGATTATGATTTTCTAGCAAGTATTGAAGGTCTCTTGGTGTTAAACCGTATCTGTCTTGGAATACCAATTGTCTGTTATTCCAAATAACAGTAGTAAAGGGTAGAAATCACTCTCTCAATCCTTGTTACGAGTTAGGGCTTTTCCTAGCTCGTAACAATGCAGCATTGGTGCAAGCAATTATGAAATTACAAAAATAAATCCACTAGAACTGAAGTTTTAATTAAGCATTTTGATTGAATTAATGATCAAGATCTAAGCAAGATAAATAATTGCAATAATTTTAGGAGATTTTAAGGAATTCCAATATAATATTTAGCTATTCAAATTGAAAGAATTGCTTGCTGTCATCTGCCCTAAGATTATAATGAAATATATTTAAAGGAAATGTTAAATTTTACAAATTTATGTCATATGGTTCATCTTTTATAGCAAATTAGTGATTTTATACCTTTAAAGCTGGCAAAAATTGAGATTCAACTTCAATGTTTGATACTATCATAATGGATCGAAAGCTTATTGGATAAGCAAAAGAGTTGCTAGCATGAAAGAAATGTTTTAGTACATATAATAATCAAATTCAATTTTACTACCGCGTTATCTTAAGTTTTGCTAATCTAAGGCGTAACTGACTTGATGAAAGTGTTAATAATAGTAATCTCTTTTAGAAAATAGCTGTTGAGCTAATTACGCAGCTGCTCTTCAACCGGTACAATGAGCGATGATGCACTTTGTTCCAAATTACGCACTTAAATGTAAAACAGGTAACAGAAGTGTTACGAAGTACTAAGGTTGTTGTAGTGATTGTATCGCTAAGAGCTATCATATTCAATATGCTTGTTTATTAAGAGTATGTTTCGGCAGTTATTCTGTAAGGATGTTGATTAGGACCTAGATAGCATATCTAGGAAAAATAAGTTGTTATCTTACAAGCTCTACTGGATTATCAATTTATTGTTACAATAAAAGACCAAGAGTAACAAGAAGTTCTTTCAAAATATCAAAATTTAGTGCAAAATGTTAAATTTATTCAAACGATAGGTTTATATTTGCAAATGATTTAAAAATAATTTTCAAGATAAAAGATAGTGTCTGGATAAGTATTAACCTGAATCGCTAAAGATCAATTGAAATTTCTCCTATAGCGAAAATTTATCTCCGTCTAACTAATTTATCCCTCACTTATAATTTATTCTCAAAAGGTGTATTATAGGCTGCATATATTGCTCCCGCTGGTTTTCATATACAGCCGACAGGCAGAATCGTAATATTGTGTTCATTTTGAGATGATATTAATTGAATAAAGTTGCTACACTTTATGCTAATGAAAGATTAATGTTCATTGTTACTATTTTTTTTATTCATAACTTCGTTTACTAGGCTGCTTTGCTTTATTATTATTTCGGTACTATTTTGCTCTCATCTATACTTAATTACAGATAACATTCTGATTAGAAACGTTTTTGTTGCTGACAATTACTTGTATGTGATTGTTGCAAATTAATTTATGAGACAAAGCAACACAAAACAAAAGTTTCCGTACCGTACTGACTAAAAATACCTTCTTAATAAGAAATCATGCAGTAGGCACACAACGAAGAACAGTAATGGCAGAACTTTTTATATAAAAATCATCATACTTGTAAACAAATTTAGTCTATTTATCCTTCTTTATTGGGATATATTTCTTGAACTATAATTATTCTAAGTAAAGTAGTGGCTCAATTATGGTATATTTTAACCCGCCGCTAGTAACTATAATTAATCATACTTTGCGCTAGATCGCTCTTATATTCAACTATTTTGAACTAGCATTTCATTATTTATTACTTTGATAAGCTTGATAGCCATTGATATCAAATGTGCGTATATCAGCCGACCTTACAATATTTATGATAATCCTTTCACTATTTTACTTAGAATTATGATGATAGACCTTGCCTTATAAGCTGCAACCACAAAGCTATTCGAACAGTGAAATAACACGGTAATAGTGATAAAAGATCTATATGTCTTAGTACCAGAGTTGTTTTTGCTTACATATTGGTCTCGAAGAAAGATATGTAAATTTTGAGTGACAACGTGAAGAATTACTTAATACAAAACCTAAGGAATTAGCAAACCACGGTTTAGAGTAACGTGAAATAGACCGGCTAGTTCATTCGCAGCTATACTCGAGAATCTTCGGTCATTTTATAATAAAAACAATTTACGATATATCTGCAGCAGACACTTCAATTCAATAATCTTTCTTTATGATATCATAAATATCATGTACCGACTTTTAAGTTACGTCTATATATTTTATCCTTACGTTGTTTAAATAGATAGCTTTTATATGGGATATTATTCTTTGTACGAGTAAACCGTCCATATTGTTATAAGGATGTGACTTTGCAGTAATTTCTTCTCAGAAAGCATTATAAACAATTAAAATTTACTGTATTAAAAGAATCTTTTATGATAACTTCAATTCAATCCCCAACTAACTCGCCGGAAGTTGTAGGAGTAGTAGAAATGAAGTCTATGTAGTCACCCTTTAATATATGAGTGGACTAGAAACACAATACATAAAAGTACAGATGGTAGTTCTATTAGAAAAAAACACGTTATGACATCATCATTCGAATAGAAAAGAGATAAGATCAATTTTAAAAGAAGATATTTTTAATAATTAATTCAATAATGAGTAAAACTGAAAAAGATTAAGGTTAGCTACTTGCACAAAACTATCTGTTATTAAAGTCATTAATTTAAATTAGTAGGGATTGTTTAGGGATTGTTTCGGTAAGGAGAATAGAAAGCTATTCGCAAATAAAAGATCCTGCATTTCCATAAATTTGAAGATCTTTGTAAATCTTCTTGACCTCTTCGACGGCTATTTTGGCATATCCATTTTTTCAGTACAACAATTTTGTTTCTTTAAAAGTATTTTAGGATGGAAGAATCTAACGTTACCAGTGAAAATCGTCAACTGTATGCATACATTGCAATAACCATTGGCAGCATATCCGTGATTGGTTTAATAGCCAATGCTTTATTACTATATATCTTTTTGACTGACAAATTTTTTCGTAAAACTACGTATTACCTAATGCTTATCTGTGTTATTTCTGATGGAATATCCAATACATCTTCTCTTATTTCTACTGGAATACTATTGGCCAAAAATGCAGATCAATCCTTCAGTATGCTAGCTATGTGTCAAATATCAGGCGCTGTTGTCTATACATCGTATGGTATATCAATTATGAATCTGTGCTTAATTAGCATCGATCGCTATTTTGCTTGCGTGAAACCGTTAAATAATTTTTACCTGGTTCATAAACGTCAGATTCTTATCGTCAGTGAAGTATTCATTTGGATCATTTCCGTAGCAGTAACATTGCCTGATATGACTTTTCTTCAACCTCGTCAAGATGATGAATTTATGTGTGATTACCCCAATGTGACGACTTCCATTTCTGTATACTTAGTATCCTTAACGTTCGTGTACTATACTTTACCTTCAATGGTTATTATAGTTACATATTGGCGAATTATAATATTTCAGAGGAATTACGTACGACCAGGGCAACCGTTGAAACCGTCACAGCAGGATATATCTAGCAGGCAGAAATTAATTAAATCACTAATTAGCATCTCAACATGCCACGTATTAACTACTCTGCCTTATTTTGTGGTCATGTTTGGAATGGGTGTAGCTGGAATATCTTTCGCTCAAATTCAAAGTAGAAATCCAGTATTATTTGCGTTATGTATGCTTGCTGTATCCACAACCAGTAATATCACCGTTATTAATCCATTTTTGTATCTGAAATTTGACGGAAATATTCGCAGAAGGCTCCGTGAAATGATAAAAAGTCTTCGAAGCGCGAGAAGAAGACGGAATTGGATAAGATGATTAAATCTTAAAGATCATACGTCGTAAATTTATATTTAGACAAAAGTACAAAATTTAATTATGAGACTTAATTCCTTCCAATTTTTTTATACATTGAAAATTTTATTGTTTTGTCGTAATTGTGTTCTTTGTCCGTGAGTAGCAATAGATTATCACCCTGAAAAATAAGTTTTGAATTTAAATTTGAGTTTTTATTGGTAGATTTATCAGAATTTCTTAACAGTTCGTAATTGAATGTATAATTGTAAATTATATGAAGGCGTAATGTGATTTTGGTAGAAATTCTAAAATCGGCTGAGTAAAATTTATTGTCTATTATAATGTAAGTATTGTAGGATAACGTGACTTCAGTTTTTCGAAACTATTACATGCATCTAATTCTAACCTGAATATTTAGCATGGTGCTGTTATTTAACTGTATTGAAATAAGCAAGATTTTACATGGGCTTACTTTCTCTTGATTAAGTATGCTTAAGCAAAAATACTCTGGTAATACTATCGGAATATTAATAACTTCTATAACTTTAAGATTAAAGTATGTGTAAAGCTTACTTTAGTAAGCAACTGCTGTGGTGTATAGTCTACCAACGATGGAAAATTCATCAGAATAGAGAGATGCACGCAAATAAGGCCTTGATAGGGCAAATTAAGCTTATACTTTCTTCCTACTTACGGACTGTAGCTCAAAGATAATTCTTTTATTCTCTATAATAGCCTCATATTTACGGGAATTATTACGAATAGATTATTCAGCAAGTTCTGTTAGTATGCGGGTATGTAATGAGTCAAAATAACATTAATATGATACAAAAAGAAAAGATCAATTGCAGCTTGTAGCAGTGAGCATGATTACAAAAGAGTTTAATAGGTGAAGGAGATTGAAAAAGAAAGATTGAATGATGTTACCGATAGAAATAAATATAACAAAATAGACTTGAATAGCTAACAACAGTAACAACTCTATTGGCCTTTACTACAGTTTAATCATAATTAATATATCCTTCAGAGGCTAAAATTGCGGGTGTATCATTCATTATGGCAACCCTAAATTACTTTAGAAAGAATCTGTCTTCGGATTCCAAATAGATGAATTTGACAACTTATCTCGTAGAAACCTATGCTCGGCCAATAGTATTCGCTTGCCTAGAAACGAAATCGAATAGGCCGGCTGTGGCCATGTCGATTTTAAGTTACAGACCTACAAGCAGTTTTCCGGACAGTGTTTGTGCTGCTGTAGGTATATTGATAGTGTGTTAAGACTTAAGATTTATTGTAAATGCTCTTTATGTATAAAATAATATTGCTATGATTAACCATACGTAAAATTGAATGGTTACTGTTTATAATATCCAAAGTCTTGCTAAGTAGATTCGATAAGCCGAATAAACTAGGATTGGGTGTTTATTGTAGTTTTAAATCAAATAATTATACGATAGTAATTATCTAAAACGTTCTATGATTTTATATTCAATATCCTCTTCTTAACACAAAGTTAATAAACACCCTATTAGGTGATCATTATCAGTTACAGTATGAGAAACTTGAATTATAATACGATTATAAATAGTCGAGATGATTAAGTGATAGTATAAAAGTATGCAAATGATACATAATTATGATTGATGAAAAATCCTTTTAACAAATTTAAAATCTCCAATATATGACATTACATTCATATGAAATATTAATAAAAAATTTAAGTATTTGGTTTAACCGGGTACCGACCAATAAATATTGCACATACGCAAATGTGAATAGATAAATTTGATTCGTATCTTCTAATAATATAAGGCATGCTTGAGACAAATGTGAAGTGACTGAAATCAAACCATCATATTTCGACACGTATTGTATCGATTTCAATTGCAATATGATACAGTTTAATACCGAATGATTCAATAAGTAAGCTAAAGAAGATCTAAAAGCCTTGGTCAATACCAATTTTTTTTACTTTTAATTTCTATTTAACATGACATGACACATACATGCACTACATACACACTATAGTATATATATATATATACACTTTCATCTAAACTTCAAACTAGACTTATTCTCTATTTCTATTTCTATTTCTATTTTTCTGCGTATTTACTATTTAATTATTTCAAATAATAATTTCGACAGCTGTAAATATTAATGAAATGTAAACAATAATGTAGCTTTTAATGAGCCTTAATATCTATCTCTAAATAACAATGTTAATCAATCGGTGCTCAAGGGGTATTGGTTCCCGTATCGTTAGTAAGATTACATTGAAACTGTCAATCCCCATATTTTATAGAGATAGTAGCGGTAAGAGATTTTCATTCTTTTTATTTTTTGCTAGTTACAACTATCTTGGTTCTGATATATTTGTACCAGAGAAGAATAGTAAAAACAATAATCAAGCTTTCTGTATAATTTTGCATGTTAGTTTTATGACAAAAATTTCTAATTATCGTTGGCCGCATTAAAAAACGCAGTCTAGTCTCAATTTTAAGGTATCGGCAATTTCAGAAAATTAGTTTTGCTTTAATCATTAGCTAATGTCTTTATTAATAATGATGATGACATCTCCTCAGAAAAAATTTAACAGCAAAATCATATCTCCGTAAAGAATTTCGTATTTAAATTTATAATTCAGATTCAATTACTTTAATAGCCTGATCAAGTAGCAACTTTAACAGTTATGTTAAGGCAGTCGCGATGATCTTAGGGGCGATTTAGAAAGATTTACTTCGTACAGGACGGTAAGTCTAGAAAGAGAAATGAATCTAAAAAATAATTTAACTTTTATGCGTACGCCATAAAGTTTGAAGTTATTTTAGGGTTATTTCGGAAGAGAAATCGACCATCTACCAGTCTAAATTGATTTATTCCAGTCTTTAAAAAATTTAGCATCAATGAGTTTTGGAATGTACTATAATTAAAATTCCTTATGCTGACCGTTTAATAATTCAAACAGGTAACAGATTCATCGGCATCGCTTAAATAAGAGGAACACAAAGTTTTGCTGCTAACTTATGTTACGAGACTTCATTCAAGCAAGATCTTATTTATATATATATATACATTTCTTAGTGATAATCTGTCAAATAAGCTTAGCCAGATTATCTGATCATTCTAGTGTGGCAATGTCTAATACTACGACATCTAGCTTTCAGCTTTTTAATATTTTTTCGTCAATTATGATGGTTATCTCCATTGTAGGATTAATTGTCAACACTTTGATAATATACATCTTTACAAGCGACAAATACTTTCGTAGATAACTTATAATTTAATACTAATTTGTGCTATTTCCGATGCAGTATCGAATATATCGGGACTCATTTCTAATGGAACGCTACTAGGAATAAGCGCGAATCAATCTTATAGTATGGCCTCAGTATGCAAAATATCTGGAATATTCATCGACATTTCATATGGTGTTTCGTTTTTAATTTATGCTTAATTAGCATACATCGATATTTTGTCATCGTTAGACCGTTAAATAACTTTTATAGAACTAATAAAAAGCAGATTGTTATTATTAGCGAAATATTTATTTGGTTATTATTAGGATCAATAGCCATACCTGATACGCATTACATTGAGTCTCAGGATGAGAATGAATATTTATGCAAATATTCTAACATGACAGTATCGGTTGGAATGTATCTGGTTTCAATATCCGTCTCTTATTACATATTGCCTTCGATGGCTATTATCATTATATTTTGGCGAATCATACTGTTTCAGAAAAATTATATTAGACCCGGGCAAACAGCTGAAGCAGATATATCATGAAGCATCTAATAAAATCAAGCTAGTTAAATCGTTAATTAGTATCGCATCTTTTTACGTATTAGCCACATTACCTTTCTTCGTAGTCTTACTCGCAATTGGTGCAGCTAGGACCTCTCTGTTACAAATACAAAGAAGTAGTCCAGGGCTATTTGCCCTATGCTTTTTATCTATGACTATCGCTGGCAACATTACAGTCATAAGTCCACTTCAATATCTAAAATTTGATGGAAATATTCGCAAAAGATTTCATGAGATATTGAAAAATCTACGTCGTACTAACATAAATTAGCCAAAAAAACTGCAAGTAATAATCACGTCATACATTTTATACTAGATTATTGCTCTGTAACACACTTTGCTATTATTATAGGATGTATTTGTCCCATTATTATAGTATCAATTACAGTTAAAGCGAAATCATTCTTTCTGCTACCAGAAATACAAAATGTGATTTTAGAGCAAATTTTAATGATTTAGAGTTTCAAGTATTTAACTAAATATTGTTAAGATGAAAAGTGTAAACTGAAATTCATTTGTTACAGTTATCAGTTTTTATAAAAGAACTACAAATTGCTACTGTTGTAGCCATTTCAAAGATGTAAATCGTGATATCTACACATAATTATTATTCCATGTTACAGTAGAATTTGTCATTTCTAATGAGAATTCACAGTATTTGGCTTGGGCTGTGAATAGATGTTATAAGGCTGTTAAGACAGCATTATATTCGTGCAGCAAAATAGGTAAATTTTGATGTTGTCTAGTATATTTAGAGATTTAAAAATGCTACTTGATAACTGGCCACTACAGTTGACGATCTTATATCGTCTTAAAATGCCGAAGAAGCCACATTGAAGTTAATTATTCTGTTTGTTCAATTCCGTATCTATGTCTTTAGTTTTGTTTTAATATTTAAATCATAGACTCTTTTAAGCATGGAATTTAAAATCTCATAGCAAAGATTTAGCATTTGAATAGAACATAAAATGTTATCGTTTAGCTAACTAATAGATCTAACGGTTACTTAAACGCTTGCATAAATCATCAGAATCAAAAATAAAAATTCCTCCGACGATAATTTTTGATATGTTGACTACTTGTAAGGTCTACAGCAATGAGTGTATGTCGTTTATACGATAGTGTTATCCGTTATGTGACTGTTTGGCGTAGTAATTTTACTGTAATAAGAATGTACGGTTGTTATAAAGCAGTTTTTAAACGCGATCGGAACACTAGACTCAATTGTTAGTTCCGATAGATCTCCAACTAACTCATGAGAATCAATGTGGATGAACACTGACTTGCTTCTATTCACAAAAAGAGACTCTACGATACGTTTTGTAGGAACAAACTTATTGTGCTTTACTACTAATCACACAGAACCATCACTCTACAACACTAGCTCCGAACTGATTGATTAATTACCTAATTCAATCCTATTTAGGATTGTCACTACTCAGTGGTGACAATAGTCAACATTTTAGCTACCGTAACTTATAGATCTCAGTATAGGGATGAGACGCCAACAATTATAACGAGTTATTATAGCTACAACTCGTAAACAAGATTAACTAAAAATAAATTGGTGAAAGCAAATTAAAGCATCGAGACTCAACACGATAGTATTACAGAGCTAAGCACTGTAACAATGGTACATTACTATTCTTATAGCAGTATTACATCACGTGAAGAATAAATCTAAAATAGGACACTACTCAGATAATTAAATTTAATTAAAAAATTCTCTCTATCGCTTTTTGGACATTGCTATCCTACCTACCTAAATTACTTAAAAAAATCAGGCCGTTTGTCTTAACGATTATCAGGTCTATAGTTGTTTCAATTTGATGATAAGCTAGTGTACTCGGGCGTTTTTACAGGCGTTCACTTATATCTTCTGCTATCTTATGGCGTAAGTATAAGTGTTGTGTACTATTTACTCTAATTATTACGGTTCAGTTAGACAAAAACTTCAAGATAAATAATGTTTTGTCGCTTTCGAGAGTATGTAATCACTTGAATCTCGCCAGTACTAACTCGTGATATAGTGCAACATACAACTGACTATCAATATAAAGGCCAGTGATAAGATATAACCCGATTCGATTCTTGTTATTTGATACTGTAACTTGTTATTGTGAACTAATAGACCGTATAACACTACATAACACTACTTACAGCTTGAGAATGCTAAATAGATTGCAGGCTTTAATTACCTAAATATGCTGAAGCAGTATCTTTCAATCGTTAATATACTAGTACTGGTTACAGAACGATAATCTTTTCAGGGCTGTATTATATCGATTTCTATTACAATATGATACAGTGTTTAAAACAAAAATTTAATAAACAAGCTAAAGAAGATCTAAAAGTCTCGCTCAATACCAGATTGTTTTCTGCTTTTAATTTCTATTTTTAAGTTATTTCAAATCCACACTATATACTTATTCCGAATAATAATTTCGACAGCAGGAGGTATCGGTGAAACTTAACAATAATTTAGCTAATAATGGACCATAATATCGATCTTTTAAGAACAATACTAATCAATTGATATTTAAGTGGCATTGGTTCCGGTAAAGTCAGTTAGATTGCTTCAGTAAGAGAAAATAGTAAAACCTATCTACTAACTTAAGTTACAAAGCTTCATTCACTCAAGACCTCGAATATATTTCATTTACGTCTACGTTAGACTTAACGATCATCCGATCATTTCAGTATGACAATATCTAATACTACGACATATAGCTTTCAAATTGCTAATATTTATGCTTCAGTTATAATAACTATAGCTGCAGTTGGCTTAATCGCCAATACTTTGATTATATACATCTTTATAAGCGACAAATACTTTCGTAAGATAACTTACAATTTGATGCTGATTTGCGCAATTTCCGATGCAGTATCGAATATATCGGGACTCATTTCTAATGGAATGCTACTGGGAATAAGCATGAATCAATCTTATACCATGGGCACAGTATGTAAGATATCTGGAATAATTATTAACATTTCATATGGTGTTTCCATTTTTAATTTATGCTTAATTAGCATAGATCGATATTTTGTCATCGTTAGACCGTTAAATAACTTTTATAGAACTAATAAAAAGAAGATTGTTATTATTAGCGAAATATTTATTTGGTTATTATCAGGATCAATAGCCATACCTGATACGGTTTACCTTCAATCTCAGGATGAGAATGAATATACGAGTATGTGTGATTATCCCAATATGACAGTATCGGTTGGAGTATATTTGGTTTCATTCTCCGTCTTCTATTACATATTGCCTTCGATGGCTATTATCATTATTTACTGGCGAATCATACTGTTTCAGCAGAATTATATTAGACCCGGGCAACAACTACAGCAGATGCAACATGCAACATCTAATAAATACAAGCTAGTTAAATCGTTAATTAGTATCTCATCTTTTTACGTATCGGCCACATTCCCCTTCTTCCTAGTCTTATTCGTATGTGGTGTAACCAGGACACCTATGTTACAGATACAAAGAAGTAATCCAGGGCTTTTTACGGTATGCATGCTGTCTCTGACTACCGCCAATAACATCACAGTCCTAAGTCCGTTTCTATATCTAAAATTTGATGGAAATATTCGCAAAAGATTTCATGAGATATTGAAAAATCTACATGGCACTAACAAAAGAGGAAGCTGAAAGAATATGAATTCTATTAAGAAGTCTTTTATTGCTTTTTCGAAATTGTTAAGCAAAATACTCCTAACATGTATGAACAGTTGTTAGAGTTTCGCTTTGTTTTAGAAATTCTAATGTCGTTGGAGCTGGTTACCCACTTTATTAAATTAGACTTAGAAGCTAAAGTCATTTATCATAGAATGCATTGCACACCAGATTCTTACTCTATTAAATAATTTGTTATTATTATAGGATGCATTTAACTCAATATTATTGTATCGATTATAGTTGTAGCGAGAATACTCTTTTTGTTACCAGAAATAGGAAATGTGATTTTAAAATAAATTTTAATGATTTATAATTTTAACTATTCAAATACGTAGATACTATGATGAAAAGTGTAAATTGCAACTCCTTTGTTGGTGATACATCTAAAAAATCGGTGATTCAAATTTATAGATTATTAAATAAATATAAGCTTTCATTCCCGAAAGTTATCAGTTCTTATAAGAAAACTTCACATTTCTTCTATTGTAGCCATTTCGAAGATGTAAATGGCAATTCTATGCATAATTATTAATTCTTCCTAAAAAATATTTTGGTATTTCTAACAAGGATTCACAGTATTTGGCTTGGATATCAAAGAAACTATAATGCTATCAATATAGAATTGTATTCGTACAATTAAATAGGCAAATTTTGATGTTGTCTAGTGATATTCAGAGATTTAAAAATACTACTTAATTTCTAGCTGCTACAGTTATCTGTCATATTTCATTTTAAGATTAAGATACCAAAAAATTAATATTGAAATAACATATTGTATTTACTCGGTTCCGTATCTAACTCCTTAGTTTTGCTCTAATATTTAAATCATAGAGTCTTTAAGGATGATGTTTAAAATTTTATAACAAAGATTTAGTATTTTAATAGCACACTAAATATTATAGTTTAGCTATCGAATAGATATAAGGATTACATGAACGCTTCTAGAAATCATCAGAATCAAAAATAAAATTCCTCTCACGTTAATCTTTGATGTGGTTATTATCTGTAAAGTCTACTACGATAAGTGCATATCGTATCGGATATCGCACTTATAATAAGTACTACCTTTAGCCGTGCGATATTTTTACGCAATGAAGTAACTCCTCAATGTAACGGTTAAAAATAGTTTATTACTTAAAATTTACTGTTGAATATTACAATCGTAGAACTTAAGACCACACAACTACACACAGCTAGCTCAAAGGCTATAGACCCGTCTCTTCCCTAAAGGAGTGAGCCTTTTATACATACCTAGAAAGCTTATTGACAAACATGTTTATCGAATCCGTTTCCGATCAATTCAAGTAAAATTCTACTTAACATTTCCTATACTATTCCTTATGCTACTTGACATTCGATATTGCCCCTGCAAGAGCAGGACCCTTAGCTGTAACATAATGATCTTATATAGAAGATGCCTAGTATAGTAATATCCTAATATACGAATACTTATCACATACCGTTTAAGTACTGTATTGCATTACGTTCATAATGTACGACATCATGACCACATATAGACGACATGCTATACATATAAAGACATTATCTCAATCTCATCTAAAACCTATAAATACCCTTGTACGCTAACTCGTTAGTCAGTTCCTACATTCCTGCTATCTCAAATACCTTATCTATAACAACCATATCATTGTTAGCCTATAACTTGTATCTCAATAAAATCCTTTATACCTTCCATCATCGTCTACCTTAAAATACTTTACGCTTTGAAGAAGATATTATTACATAGCTAGGTTCGATTGTCATCCCTCATTCTGGGCCAATCATGTGTAATTCACTGAGATGTGCTGGTGCTACTAACCGAGGCGCCTAGCAGCCTCGCTTAGCCTTTCCATTAACATCTATAACATTATCCACTAATCATCTACGATGCCCATTACACTTGATAAGTTGAATCTAAGACCGCTAGTCTACCACCTTATTTACTGTGGTATCACTGCAATCTAGTTTCCTACAGTACTATAGTATTGTGAGTTATTCAACTGTCTAGCATAGTAATTTTGCTAGAATAAAAATGTACATGACTATTGTCATGGTAATATTTCATAACGTGGAGAATAAATCTGAAATGTGACACTACTCAGATAATTCAATTTAACTAAAAATTTTCTTTACCGCTTTTTGAATATTGTTATCTTACCTGCATTATTTGTAGAAATCAAGCTGTATATCTTAGCGATTGTCTGGTTTATAGTTGTTTTAATTTAATACCGTAAAAAAGAACAGTTATACGCCCGGGCATATTATATATTTAAAGGCGCCCGCATAAATCGCCTGATATCTTAAACTGTAGGTATAAGAACTGTGCAATATTTAATATAATTATTACGGTACAGTAAGACGAAAACTTCAGAATAAATGAGTTTATTGCTTACGACTGTACGTGATTAATTACTTGACTTACGCCAGAACTACCAACTCGTATTTTTCTTAATAAATTGTTGTTCGTTTGTTTCCCATATTTTTTTTTGCTTTCGAAATTCCGTAAAGTCGACTAGAGTGCCACGAACGTAGAATCAAAGTTAGCTAAAGTTTCATAGCTTGATTTCTACACCTTACCTTTCACTACGTCTGGACAAAATAATGTAAAAAACTTAGTATTGTCATTGTAGATTATTAGATAATAATTACCCAACAGCTTTGCAACAAGATAACGTAATGTACGATCAATACGTCAACTCCTTGAACCTAGTATCAAGGAATGATATCTGTACTATTAGGAATACTTTTGCTCTACAAGCAGACTACATAAAGACCTAGACCTAGACCTCCTCGTATTTTGCGTTAAACGCTAAGTTTAAGAATCCACTTTATTACACGATATACTGCATTTATATACTCTTCCTCAATAGTTCATGAATCAAAGTTAGTACGATTAACTTTAGAACCATTCACTGACTTAGACATCAATTTCAGCTACAGCTCCCCAATGCAGACAACAGTATTTACGAACATAAACATCTGATGACTAATATAGAATAGTCAGATTACGTTATGTCTTATCATGGAACATTTCCACGATAATTTACAATCTACCATAACTAAGTTACAATCACAATGATTCGAACTAGAAGTTAACTAAATAAGGATAGGCTAACAAAATTATCCTAACATAGATATTTCTACTCTAATACAGTATATAACACCGTCACACTATTTTTAGTATGATGTGCGGTAGTGTCTTTTCCATATTTATCTTATGATATATTTAGTAGCCCATAATTATAAACTGTAAGGGTAGACTCTATGCCAGAGTACAAATGACTATATATAGTAAGGTGATTATGCTACTAATAAGGTTAGAAGTAGAAATAGATTTATAAATCATATATTAGGGTATGCTTAGTTCATTTTACTTTCAGTGGTAGGAATTATGTCTATTAAGATACTGTAATCATTTCTATGTTGGATTAATGATGGTTCGCCGTAAAATATTGCGACTAATAATAAGCTGAATATCTATAAAATATGTTAGAATGCTGCTATACTGATTGTAGCTGCGAAGGCTACGGAGAGTATAATAGCAGGAGACATTAGATTATCTGATTGTTCTTTCTAGAAGTCTTTCAATAGTTGTATTTGGCTAGAATAGAGCTATATGCAGCTAGTCTTCGTGTTAAAACTAATAAAGTTTTTAATTTTCTACAATTTTGGAATTCCTGTGATCGGATTTTATCTTAAATGGATATACACTGTAAATTGATGTTAAAAATAGTTTATACAGATTTGAGATCAATTCGCTCTGGTTTGCACCTTACAGTAACCTATATTCGATTAAGACCAAAAAATTTGCAATTCTTTCACGATTGTATTGCTAATCTAAGTTATATTACGCACAGAATACTTATTCGTATTTAAATGATCAATTTTCCTGATATTCTAGTATTTCTAGATATGGGTACAACTATAAAACAAGAAGATATACTTTTGATTTGGTGACACTCAATCAACGATAAAGCTTCAAAACATCGTCTGCTACAGAATTATTTCTCATATTAACCACTACATGAGCTTGGTCTTGTAAATTGATTTGTTCTTAATTTCTATGAATTTGAAATAACTGGCATACCATGTGCTAGGAGTAATTAATTGTAACAATGCCTTCTAGTTAAAGATAGTATCAATGATAACGATAATTTATAATCGTTTTGTGATGAATGTATTATTTATGCAGGTACTAATCGCTTTTAATTATCACATGTCTGCTAAACAGAATGAGTATGTACTGTACGGGATATTTAAACAAAGACGTATTGTTTAATGACTAGTTTGATTCTTCTTGTCATAGCATCGACATTGCATACTTTCGCTGTTTTGACGGAGAGCTAATTAATTAATTAATTAATTATAGGAAGTAAGCATTCTTTGATTTCTAATGCTCTGTAGTTTATATTTTAATAAAAGCTACTGTACTGAGATAGTATATAAATAGGCGATACTAAAAATTACTGGACCTTTCCATATTACATCATTCTACGGAGAAGAATGTTTCTATATAAAGCATGTTCGAAAAGATTTACATCGATTCAATCGATTGAATTTATCATTATTTTTATTCAACGACTCAAATTTATTAAAATAATTTTAGAAAATCTGCATCGGTTCTGATTCATCGTCATTGTCCTTGTACTTGTTCGATTTGTACAATTATCTACATTTAAAATGTCTAATGATACCGTTACTAGTACCTATTTTCAATTCTATACCATATTTTCGGTTTTGGGCTTTGTTTTGACCATATTCGGTTTTGCTGCCAATTTAATTCTCTCCTATGTATTCATAACCGATAAAAACTTTCACAAAGTAACTTATTGCTTAATATTAATCTGCGTTTTATCCGATTCTATCTCTAATATAGCTTTATTTTTCGGATATACTGTAATGCTAGGAAAACTAGCGAATTATGAATCAGGAACTGTGATTTGCAAATTAGTGCTATTTATTGTCTTCTCTTCCTATGGTATTTCATTTATGAACTTAGCTTTGATTGCTGTCGATCGCTATTTTGCTGTTGTCCGACCATTAGCACTATTCTATCGCATTTACAAGAAACGGATTCTTATTACTAGTGAATTGTCAATATTCTTTATTGTAGCTGTAATAGGGATACTAGGAAATTCTCAAATAGGTGTTCGCCAAGAAGATACTCGTTTGTGTGATAATCTTAATGTTACCAATTATAACACTATAATCATGGTGACATCGACAGTAATACGCTTTATCATTCCATCGACGATCATTATTTTCTTTTACTGGCGAATTATCGTTCATCAACGTCATTACGTTAGACCTGGACAACTTACTGCCAATCAACAAGACGAAGAACTCAAGAAGCGTAAACATATACAAGCTTTACTTAGTATTTCAGCTTTCAACGTTCTGAATACGTGGCCCTTTTCTGTTATTTATCTCATACAAGCCATTATACAAAAATCAACATATCAAATTCGAAAAGAGAGTCCTGTTTTCTTTTTCTTAAGTCTTTTATCCTTGTCACTCATTAGCAATATGACCGTTTTAAATCCGTTTATTTACTTGAAATTTGATAAAAATGTTCGTGCTAGTGTTCATAGAATCTTTAAAAGGGCTCGATCTCTAACTTACTCTGTAAGTCGTTCAAAGTTTCGATTTACTACTGGATAGCTAATCACCCAGAAACGGTTCACTGCTTTAAATTACTAATATGATTTAATAACAATTAGGGATAGAAATATTTTTATTCACAAGATGCTGCGAAAGAATTTAATGCACAGATATGTGGTTTGAGATTAAAGATAGATTTCATAGCTATATGTAATGGATATAATAATGTTTACGAACGTTAAATACGGTATGCAATATGGTATCAAAGAATGTTCCAAATGAATTAGTAGGACTTCAATTAAATTAATGAGTTTGTCTGATTGAAATAAATCTACAACATAATGTTGTTTATAATATAGGAACTGCGATGTCCAAGTCAAGTCTATTTTGGCAATGAAACAATTAAGAGCCATTGCACTAGGGTGTAGACAAAGTAACAAAATTTAGATACTGAATTAAATAGTTTTAGAAAACGATGTAAACGATCCATTTTATGCAAAATGAATTAATTTGTTGTACGCTAGATTCCGAAATACATGTAGTGTCGTGACTGCTAGACTAACATCGCTAGATAATATTGTTCTTAAGGATTAATATCCTTAACTATGCATAGTTGTTGCCGTTATCTTGTATTGCTGTACCGGTAAATGATAAATCAATGTTGTACGGTACAAGTATGTTTATTAGTCAATTGTATTATATTTAAAAATGGTATCTCAAGAATGTTATCGCAATGTTAGAGAAGTTATGCATATTCATGTCAATGTTAGCGTATATAAATGAGGCGCTTTTACTATCTGGAGGAGTCGGTTAGAGTGTGAGTTAGTAAGTTAGTTAGTTGTAGTTAATAAAGGTCGATTTCAACCACCGATAGAAAAGAAAGGAAATTTATCTGTTGTTGTTGGCTCAGCAGAAATTTTGCAAGCTTCCGTAAATTCGAAAAGATCAAACTGAGTCACAACATGTAGCTTAAAAATCGTAACACATTGTTGAGATATAGTAATTAATAAAGACCAGGCTAGTAGATACGTTAAAATATTCAATTTCCTAAGTTAAAATTAGAAGTCATCAATAAGTAGCTAAAGATAAAATTACACTAAAGCCGATTGTCACAAAACAGCTTTGCAACAAGATAAGGTAATATGCGATCAATAAGCCAGTTCCTTGAGCCACGTATCAAGGAACGATATCTGCACTATCACAAACACTTTTGCTCTACTAGCAGACTACACGAAGACTTAAACGCCTCGTATTTTACGTTAAACACTAAGTTTAAGAATCCATTTTATTACACGATTTACTGCATTTATATACTATTCCTCAATAGTTTATGAGTCATAGTTAATACGATTAACATTGGAATCATTAACTGAATTAGATATTAAGTTTAGCTACTGCTCCCTTAATGTAGACAACAGTATTTACGAACATAGACATGTAATGACTAATACAGAATAGTCAGATCACGATATGTTCTATCACGAAACATTTCTACGATAATTTATAATCTACCATAAGTAAATTACAATCACAATGATTGGAACTGTAAGTAGATGATTTGCATTCCCTATTATAACTATTAATTTCAGTATGTGTATATGTGTCACTGTCATAAAAAGTCAGTGCTATATTAAAACACAGTATATCCAAATTAGAAGTTAACTAAATAAGGATAGGCTAACAGAATTATCCTAACATAGATATTTCTACTGTAATATAGTATATAACACTGTCACACAGGTATATTACCAGCGAGGAACGAGTCCAAATCTAGTCAAAACTCTAAGCTAGCTCCCCTTTCTCCTACCATAGCCTGTATAGCCGTAAATATTATCAACTTTATGTATTCTCATTCATATAAATATTACTAATTTAAATGAATTACACTATATAAAGAACTGAATCTGAATATTGATAATTAATATTAATGTTAGTCATTACAACAGCAATAAATACCAAATGTGAAATTAACGTACATTACGTTATTTCTCTGTTTGAAAATAAACCTTGCTTAATTTTCAAATATTACTTCTAGGGTTTTCAATTGAAATTTTGAACACCTTCGAATACGTCACTAGATTAAGTTAAAAAAATTAATTAAAAGAAGGAACTCTATCTTTATTTAAGGTAAATTTTTCGAACTTCAGCAGCTTTAATTGAGAAAGTAAAAGTTTATTTATAATTAATGTAAAGATTTGTACTAAGAGTTTTAAAGCGTGGAAAAAAGCAATCGTACTGCAGAAAAAGCTTAAGTAATTTACAATTGGCTATTAAATAAAGATCTATCTCGATATCTGTAATTCTTCCCTGGTATTTATCTTCCTTATTCTTTTACTATTTGCTAGATTTCTAAACTAAACCAATGTTTTCAAAAACTTTGCCGAGCCGATATTGGCTAATTAGTCTGGTGAATATCCCAAAATGCTATAGAATCTATTAAATTTATGCAAACTTTACTTTATTACGCGTATTGGTTTATAACAATATATTATATACTAATTATTGAAGACTATGTATCTTCAGTCTAGCTATAAACGAAACTTGCTGAGGAATGAATTATACTGGAAATGCATTTCTGATATGAATATTTATAATTAGACCTTTAAAATAGCGTAGGCTTATTTTTGAAGGATATGGAAATAATAGCGAAAGAAACAGTTTTAGCGGAATATGTTCAAAACGTTGTTTGCTAACTAGTTGCATGGAAAAATTTTGCTTATTGTTCGCTATAGAGAGTGAATTAAACGAAGTTAAAAAATATTTTAGCTTCCTTATATGGATTAATTGAGAGAAACTTGATCGATGTTATTTTATTTCATTGTTGTTGTTTAGACCTTAATTGACCTAGAGCGGTATGCATCAAGAGTTTTAAAAGTTTATCAGTTTTTGATCGATATTTTCGGCTTCAACACTACTGCCTATGTCTACTGGTATGATAAATAGTACCGGTAATCGATCAGAAAGATAAAATGATGAGCTATTTATTATTATTGATAAAATTAAAACTATTCTAAGAGTAATTGGCTGTATTACCAATGGTCTCTTATCGTATATTTTAATATCTGATAGATCTTTTCGAAAAGTGACATACAACCTTATACTCGTTTGCTCTTTCTCTAATGCTCTTTCAAATGCTTTAATTGCCATTGGTTACATTGTATTGTTAACGAATTTTATAAATGCTGAACAGCATTCTTTTGCTTGTAAAGCTGTCATATCGGTCGTTTTCACTTCAAATGGAATCACTTTCATGAACTTGGCTTTGATCGCGATCGATCGCTACTTTGCGATACTTAAACCACTGATGCAATTCTATCGCATTCATAAAAATGGTGTTATTCTCAGTAGCGAGATGTTTATAACTGTAATATCATTTGGATTAGTTTTACCTTTGAGAGTAGAGATAGAAACCTCAAACATGGATCAACGAGTGTGTTTTGCCTAAAGTTACACCATCTATTTCGGTTCGTATGATTATCTTATCAATGTTTGATGTTGTTCTTCCGTCTTTCTTAATGGAATATTTTTACTGGAGGATTTTATTCACCTTCGTAATTATACACGACCTGGACAACTTACTGATAATCAGATAATTACGAAGAATAGCTGGCGAAAGTACATTACAACTTTAATTTGTGCGTCCGCTTTTAGCATTGCCAACATTCAGCCATATTGTGCTTATCATTGTCACAACCCTCACTTGTGGCAAAGGAAAGTAAAGAACTCTAGTGTAGTTACTTAAAACTTGGGCATTTCTCCCAGTACTTTCAGTTCCTATGAGAGAAGTATTTGAGAACTCGATTTCTCGGCTGATCTCCACAGACAACTGACTAATTATTACACTATTCTTCACGATATGAGTCTTGCCGTTTCTTGAGCAATTACTTACTTTATTCTACAAACACACGCGCTTAAATAGGTTTCTACAGTGAATTCCAATATTAACGAGTGAGAATTCATACTTTACAAGTTACATTAATTAGTATAATACCATTACTAAATATACATGTCGATATTCTCAGACTTAGATAGCTACAAGCTATCAGGTGTTAAGACGCTTAACCTTCGTCCATATACAGCTCAATTTTTAGAGATTAACACACCTTATAAACCTACAGTAAATTAACTGCTAACAACTTCTATTTTTATCTCATTTCTACCATCCTATTATCAGCTACAAGCGCATTAAAACATAGCACATAACCTTATCTTATCTATTCATAAGCATTCATTAATTTACAGTTACTTAATTAGTAACGGCGTACCGTGACAATCATATAGGACAGGCTATATCAGGCAAATCGTAGCCGGATGTCAATAAGGAAAATCCGACCTTGTTTTTATAGGCATGTTATCTTTATGCTTGATTTCAAATGTCGCTATTCTCAATTCCATTATTTATATGAAATTTAGTAAAAAGATAACTTTCAAGGTTAAACTAATGTTTAAACGAATTCCATTTTTATAGAACATTAAGTTATTTTGCATGAAAGTATCAATGTTAATTTTAATAAATCTTTCATATGGTTTTGTTAGCAATTTTTAAGATCGTATATCATCATATCTTCCATGTACAGTATTACAATGAAAAAGATTGTATGTATCATTGTCACAAAACAGCTTTGCAACAAGATAACGTAATCTACGATCAATAAGTCAATTCCTTGAACTACGTATCAAGGAACGATATCTGCACTATCACGAGCACTTTTGCTCTACTAGCAGACTACACAAAGACTTAAACGCCTCGTATTTTACGTTAAACACTAAGTTGGACAATTCTTCTTTATTTCACGATATACTGCATTTATATACTATTCCTCAATAGTCCATGAGTCATAGTTAATACAATTAACATTAGAATCATTTACTGAATTAGATATTAATTTTAGCTACTGCTCTCTTAATGCAGACAACAGTATTTACGAACATAGACATGTAATAACTAATACAGAATAGTCAGATTACGATATGTCCTATCACGGAACATTTCCATGATAATTTACAGTCTATCATAAGTAAATTACAATCACAATGATTCGAACTGTAAGCAGATGATTTGCATTCCCTATTATAACTATTATAATTTCAGTATGTGTATAAGTGTCACTGTCATAAAAAGTCAGTGCTATATTAAAATACAGTATATCCAAATTAGAAGTTAACTAAATAAGGATAGTCTAACAGAATTATCCTAACATAGTTATTTCTACTGTAATACAGTATTTAACACTGTAACAATCATATTTATCAATGGAACGTAGAATAAATTAAAGTATTGATGGCATTGCTACTATTTGTAAGCGATGTTTTAGTTTTTAGAAAAATGTACTGTATGGAGATTTATTTTAGTGTTTCATGCTTTTCTCTTGGTAAATATATTCGTGGCTACTTTCAATTATTTTAGTACTATTTTAAGCAATTTATGTGAGAATCTATTTTTAGCTATTTAATAATCAGCTAGAACATGTCTCGTTTGTTGCAGTATCATACAGAACTTGGAATTAAAACGCTATCTTAATATTGCATCTGCAATCCTTTTTAATTCATAATTGGATTATTTCATTATAAACTACTTTGATAATGTCAAGTATATTTGAATAATTTTATTATACTAATTTTAATTACAGCATAATTACTGCTTGTAAAAGTGTATAGTAATGGTGTCACAACGTCGTTTGCAACAATCGGATTCCCGTTCCACACTTATCCTACTCTCCTCTGTCCTACAGTAAAACTGCCACCAGGCGTCACTACTCGCTCCACTTCAGCGAAGGACCTCAGTCAACAGTAAAGGCGGACTAGAAGCGTCTGGATAAATTTACTAAACTAACTTTATTAGGTTTCCGTATTTTCCTCCTCTCTAACGAGGTAAATTACAACCTCTTATATACTTGTATCAAATCTACACCTTTTCCACCTGTTAAATATTCTTATACATAACTTAGTCTTTT